CCTCAGACGGACCCATTTCAATGGTATATGAAATCAATTAAATAGATATATAATCCTGTTACCTTCAAGCAAGGAGGATAGGATATAAAAATAAAATATATTGAAGATAAAATATCAAATATGAAGATATAAGAATATTGAATAAGAAATATAGATTTTGAATTTATGAATTTTGATATGAATCTAGAAAAGATACGATATAAACGATAATTCTATGATAGATTAATCTCTGATACGAGAATTTGCTGATAATTTTTATATATTCTTATCTTATAGAGATCGGATCGCGGGAATCTCTGATATATTGGAGATATTTGAGATTCAAAAATTTCTATTTTATCATGAGAATTATAGATACAAATTTGATTCATTAATTTGAATATCTGAATTTGATTCATTACTTTGAATCTTCTTTTTAGAAGGCAAATTCTATCTATGAAAAATATCTTAAATTTCCATTACTTTATTTGAATGATAGATTTTGATATATCTTATAGATTTTCTTATATATATAAATTTTCTCGGAATTGATTTTCTATAAAAAAATCGGATATTCGGCGGATTCGAATTTAATTATTAGATTGCTTGGGCGGAAAGATTGCCGGCTTCTTTTTTAGATAGAATCGTTTCGTTGGAGAATATAGATATTTTAGAAAATGATTTTTAGATGAATTGTCCAGAATATTCGAATATTTTAGATTCCGTTTTTCTAATATATTTGGAATATGAGAAATTTTAGAAAAGATATCCCACATATTGATCTTCGAAAATATTGGAATATATTTCAGATCTCGCTTAAATACGATACCGCTAAGGTTTCCTTCGAGACCGCGGTTACGGGGACGGGAATGATAGGCGGTGGTAGCAATAGGGGAAGACGGGGGGCGCGGGTCGGAAAGAGAAATGAATAATTCTCCGGCATTCCTTCTATTTGGAGAGGATTTTCATAGGGAATGATAGGAACTCAGAAAATAACGATGATTAAATTAGAATTATTGAAAATAGAAATATTTTCCGATTTTCTATGATTTCTTTCCTTCTATTTGGAGATGAATTTCATAGAGAATTTGGAATCTCAGTAAATGACGATTTTTAATTGATCAAAGTCTCTTTTATTCGACTAATCTATATCGCCCGTCTGGGGAGATTGACCGTTGAAATTCTCAATTTTTCTCAAAATACGGTGCGATCCGATCGCTTCTTTCATTTATTTTATTTTTTCGAAGATGGCGATCAAATCGTTCCATTTTTTGCAAATCATCCCTTGGCAAAATGCGTTGCGATCCGATTGCTCTTTTTTTTATTATCCCTATTTTTCCCAAGTCGGCGGTCGGATCCCCAGATCTTATGATACGATCTGATCGCTTCTTTCATTTCTCTTATCTTTGGGAAAGAGGCGATCGGATTGCATCATTTATCATAAATCATCTCTTGGCGAAATGAGATATGATCCGATTGCCGATTTTTGTATATATATATATCCCTATTTTTCCCAAAATCGGGGGTCGGATCGCACCGCTTTTTTATGAATCGAGATAAAATGCGATCCGTCTATTTCTTTCGTTTATCTTATTCTTGAGGAAGATAGAGAAATCGGAATTATCTAATGATGCAAACGGTTAATTTGAAGAATAAGGATAGATTTATCTAATAATGAAAAGGAGAATCTAAAATATCAGACTTGAACTATCTAAGAATAAAAACGGAGAATTTGAATGAATAATGCGAGAATTATCTAATCGTCAGAATGGAGAATTTGAAGGATAATGATGAAATTATCAAATTATAAAATAGATAATTTGAAAGATAAAGATAGAATTATCTAATCGTAAAAACGGAGAATTTGAAAGATAAAGAAGAGATGATTAATAATAAAAAATAGAGAATTTGAAGATCAAAGGTAGAATTATCTCATCGTAAAAATGGAGAATTTGAAGGATAAAGATAGAGATGATTAATAATGAAAAATAGGGAATTTGAAGATCAAAGATAGAATTATCTCATCATAAAAATGGGAGATTTTGAAGAATAATAATGGACTTATCTAATCATAATAATAGACAAATTGAAAGATAAAGATAGAATTATCTATTCATAGAAATGGAGAATCTGAAATGCAAGAGAGAAATATCTAATCATAAAAATATAAAATAGAAAGAAAAAGATGAAAGAGAAGAAGAGGGGATTATCTAGCCGTAGAATTTGAAGGAAGAGGACGGAATTTGAAGAATAAAGATAGATTTATCTAATCGTAAAAATTGAGAATTTGAAAGATAATACCGATATTATCAAGTCATAAAAATAAAGAATTTGAAGGCGAAAGACGAGATTATCCAAATATGAAAGCAGAGAATTTGAAGGAGGGCGAATTATCTAATCGTAAAAACGAAATTTCTAAAAAATAAATATATAATTATCTAATCGTAAGAATAGAGAATTTGAAGAGTAACGATATAAATATTCAAGAATGGGAGTAGAAAATTAGAAAGAAAAGGCGGAATCATTTAATCCTAAGATCGGAATATTTGAAGAATAAGGGCGGAATTATATAAAATAGAATCGGAATATTTGAGAGATTCATTGAAATATAAAAATAGAATTTCGTAATCGAAAATCGATCGACTTTTGAAAATATTCCGTATAAATCTAATTCTAAATCAACCCAATTTTAATGAATAGATCCCTCGAATGAGAATGAAATTACGAAAATATTCTGCGTGCGCAGATACAATTTTCTTCAATATAGAAAATAATTATAATATCATATCGAATAATTTTTCAGCAAAATTTATACGATAATCGCTTCATATTTTAGAGTAGAAGAAATATGCTAACGCTAGCAAATCAAGCATGAAGAGTTTAGAAATTCATAATAAATTTGAAAATCTATTTCATCTTAGCGAATAATCAGAAAATTCAAAAATTAAAGAAATTTCTTCGAAATTCTAAAATATATCTCCTATTTTCTCCCTCCCGAATCAACCAAAAATTTTTAGAATCTTTAAATCTTCCGAAAAGCTATTAAATTTCGAATCTATTAATTCCTTTAAATAATCTTTAAAATATATATTAGAAAAAAATCAAAAAAAAGAAGATTTTTCCTCTCAAGATAATCATGATTTTTTATTTGAAGAAGATATAATCCAAAAAAATTCTCATAATTTTGAACAGAATTCGACATTCATTTGAATATGAATAGAAAATCATCTTATCCTTAGTCTAAGAAATATATATATATATATCCGAGAATTCTAAAGAATTCAAATACTCAAATGATATTAAATCATTCGTCTTTAGAAGAATCCATTTATCATCAAATAGATTTCTCGAAAATTAAATTTCCGTAATATCATAGATATATAACCATTGTCGTATAGAAATTAGATATGTATATAGAAAAATATTTCTATTATTTTTGGAGGGCGTTGATTCTGACCCTAATCATTCATTGTATTTGCTTCCGTACGTCCTCGGAAGGAGAAGAGTCGTTCTTTGGATTTGGGTCTTGCCTAGAATGCGTTGCAAGCGCCGTGATTTGCACAATCTCAATCTTGGCAAAATTAAATTTGTTTTCGAGCCTTACTTTGGAGACACTAAGCGCCTCGGGCTCTACAATTTCTGGCTTGTCAAAAGCATGTTTGGGCTTGGGGCTTCGTGTTGGACGCGCTGCAAGCGCCTTGGCCATCAGAGTCGATGTGTCTTGTGAAGCGTGGCGTCGACAAATGCCAACGAATCCAAAGAATTTCGATCGACGAGCCTTCACTCCGTGGCGATGTTTGAAAGCTGCTTGGGATCTAGTCTAATCAAAATGATTAAGCAGTAGCCGCGTCAACGCCGCCAAAGTTCTGCGCGCTCAGGATCTTCTTGTGGTGGGACGAGTTGCCAAGCCACGATTGCAAACAGGATACGCAACTTTGCGTGATATTAAGTTTGTCTCGTGCCCCCGTGCGCTTCCTCCCAGCTTGGTTGCGAGAACGGCAGGGAGCAGAGCCAGGCTATTGCTATCAGTTTGCATCCACAAGCGCAACTTCCACAGGAAGTGGCGAGTGCTGCCAGCCCGGAAGGGTGCGGGAAACCACATTAGCATTTTGAAGGGTCTGTCAAAATATTGATATGGGTCAGCGTCAATCCGAAAAAAGTCTCAGCCCCCGGCACTGTAAAAGCAGCACTTCACGATAAACGAAGGGATTTGACGACTCAGATTTTGCTGGGCAGAGTGAGGACGTATGCTTGCTGCGCACCATCACGGTGCAGTATTCATCATGCCTGTCACGAGTGCTGTGAAGCCGCACCATCGCAGAGGACACAGCTGCTTTGATGACGGCATTTCAACACTCAGACACAAAAGCGCCCAACAGCACCTGATACCCACAAACGAAGAAACGACCAAACAGCTCAGGCAACGAAACCTTGTGAGGAATACATCTCGTAGCGTGCAATGCAGAGGGACTACACTGTTTGAACAAGCGCGTAGTGTTTAGCATCATTTCTAGGTTGTGCGCGTGCCGCATGATGATTTCGTCGTGCTTCGGGTACTTCCATCTGGCGCATCTACCCTTGCTCTTCTTCCACGAAGGAAGCTGGCCGTTCCATGTTTTCGCACCATGCGACAGACCGAGAGTTCTGCCGACGCGTCTGCCACCATCTGTACATTGTGTTCGGCCTTCTTTGATGAGCCACATGTGGGGTTCTTGATCAATAGGCACTTTTGTCAAATCACCTTTGCAACGCGACTTAGACATGTACGAGACAACCCTTTGGTATACTGGGATGAGAATACCAGATCATACATTCATGGATGATGTCATCAGTTTTGGGATGTTTTGGGTGCAGAGGCATTTGAACAGGGTAGCAATGGTTCTGCTGCGTAAGGGAAAATGTAGGGAGAGTAAAAGCAAGAGTATAGTAAGTCTCTAAAATCTTGGTCCCTAAGCCCTAGGGTAAGTTTACCATTCAGCATCACCCTAGCGTTTTTGTCTCTCTCGGTGCCGCGGAGATGGTCAACACAAACTTGGCAGCAGTAAGGCCTTAGTAAAGGCTTGGGGATTTAGGGGTTTAGGCGATTCAAGGGCTTAGGGGACTGAGGCAAGAGTTTAGCCTTTCTGTGTTGATTTGTTCAGGGTTGAGTGTCTTGGGCTTGGGGGAAGGAAGAACATGATGAATGGGTCATGGCCCCCACAAAGAGTAGAATCACTACTGAAAGGAAATCCGAAACGGACCAAGGTGAAAAACCACAACCAGACCCCCACAGGGCTCCTACATAATCCGGGCACGCTCCTTCCACTGGTACAGAAACCCATCTGGGCATGTCCTTCAAGAAGCAGCCCCACGTCTAGAACCCCCAAACACTCATTGTACTAAAGGAACCCCCAAACAAGATTCCGATGTTTTGGAAGCCCCCATCTTGGCAAGTCCAGCGGCTGACTGCGAGGCGTTGAAGGATAGCTTCGGGACGGAGTCCTCCTTCCAGACCAGCCTGCAGCAATCTGCAACAGAAAGACTCTGGGCCTCTCCAGGGTGATTACAGGTTTTTGGGTGACAGCTTTTTGTTTTAGCAGTTTGGGGTGATGAAGGCTTTTAGCTAAGGAGGTTTTGGAGTTGAGGGAGAGAACAGGTCTTTGGTTGAGGCAGTTTAGATTTTTTGGAATTTATGATCAAAGTTTGTATTGAATCAACTATTGCGACAAAGGAGACACGTTCCGTTGGCAGTACGTGCGCTGATTTCTCGTGGGGATAGGAATATTGAGCATCTTAGTCTATGATTATCTTTGTCCTGCCTGCTTCTGCCTTTATTGGACTATTCAAGAAGTCTTTATTAATAGAACACGTGGCCTGCAGTATTCCTGCCACATGTGGCTCAACTCTGGGCGTACGCAGGCGGAGCGGACGCCCCTCTGATGCCGCTCTCGCACCTCTGTTGTTCATGGAGCCGCGGCAGAAAATGTCAAGGAAACCATTCCTCAATATTTTCTCAGGCTTCTATCGTAGTAAGTTTTCTAATCATATGCTTCTGAATTAGGCACGGTCTTTTCGAGGGTGTTCCGTTGTGGTGCGAACTCCGCATGCTGACTTCGACAGGCTCGCAAAGACGGATGCGACTCCTGGATCCATTCCAGGCGTTCTGGGCAGACCGTCATGTAGGTGGAGTCCTAGCTCATCTCAGCGAGCGGGAAGGATTTGGGGCTCTCTGGTTGCATTAACACAAGGTATCTGTGTTGACATGCAGAGTCCATGGTCTCATGAGCTTGGGTGCAGAGTTACATTTCTTGTGATCGATTTGGCCGCGGTCGCCGTTTCCTTTGCGGCTTCCGCCTATAGTTGTGTTCTTTCCCAGGTGGTGGTATTGGCGGCGGCGGCGGTGGTGGTGGTGGCGGTGGTGGTTGCGTGGTGGCAGCGAATGGGGGGGTGGGCGGGGGCAAGAATGCGGCGAGGCGGGAGCGGGGATGACGTCATATTCTTGGTACTAATGCTGATTGTCGTTGACAGAAAATAATCGCACCACCATTCACTACTAGTGCTAACAACCCGACGACTACCACCAGTAAAGTTTGCAGAAGCTGCTGTCCTGACTCATCTCCTGGAGACTTTGGTTGGAAGCATCGCTGTCCAGTTGGCGCCATTTTTCTGAAGAAGATAAAGTGCTTCTCACCCTCTTCAAACTGCCTACCTGGGTCCATACCGAAGATGAAAGATTTGCGTTTTAAGGTAAAAGGCTTCCGGCGTCATAGTTCACAGCCCAATATCAAGGGTCCTTACAATGATTGAGGGAACTGAGTTTCTAAGGTATAGCTGAAGACACCACTTATGCACCATGCCGGAATGTGGCTAGACTCCCAAACGTCGTTCCTTTGCAAATTTCCGTGTTTGACAACATAGAAAAGCGAAGCCATCAGATGCTCTAGCTGCGTGTTCCTTCCAGTCATACTCGGACCCGCGATCAGGGGGCTGAACTTCCACGGGTGGACTGGATTCCAGGCAGGACTCCAAGACCCGGATCTGATCCAGGAAGCCCAAAGCACGATCCAGCTTGATCAGCTTCTCGAGTGCTTCCTGGGGATCCTCTAAGTCCTCTATCCTGGGTTGCTGTTAAGG